TTCCACGCTTCGAATGACTGAGGAGGCCGAACAACAGTACCCTAACAGGGTTCCCTTCTTCAAGGATACAGAATGATAATTCGTGTTCATTACTCTTACCGGTACAGACTTCTTCGCTCGTAGCAGGGGTTTTCCAACAGCGACCCCTCGTCCTATTTCGCTGTCATGGTTCCTTGGCTCCAACAGAATAATACTCCCATTATTCGTTTTACCTTCCAGGCGACCATCCAAAAATATCTCACAGCGCTCAGGGATCGAAACATCTTCTGCTACTACCACGCGAAGCGTCTCCTCACATTTTCGATGTAGAACCACTTCTTCTTCATTTATTTTCAAAATTTCTTGTTTGAGGTTTAGTTCAAAACCTCTAGTGGTCACGATGTCCATTCCGAGAATAAGTTCATCTTCGATGTCTGCTACTAACACCGATGATTAAAACAGGTGCTTCCGATAACAAAATTAAGATCTACCTCTCCATGGATGAGAGCGGAGCTTCCTGTAGCTGTACGTAGTCGCCATTGTGTTGTTTTAATCCTTTTTGATGTTTTAAGGATATCCGGCCTGATGATCGTTTTGGTCGCACCCGTATCCAACAGCATGGTCCGTAACTCCACAAAAATGCTGTTGAACTTGTGTTGTAGCGATGCGACTTGAGCAGTTTTCGTTGGAACCAGTTGGGTACTGTTCGATATGTGTCCCTTTGATTCGACACTTGGCGAAACCGGGTCCACGTCCTTTTCTTTACAGTGGCTTCTTACGTGTCCTGCCTGGCCACAATTCCAGCAACAAGTCGGTCCTTTCTTGCCCATGTACTCCTCCATGACTTTCGTACAATGCTTTCCACGGATTCGTCGGAACATTGGTTGACCGCCCGTACTCTCACTAGAGACCGAGAACTTTGTTTCGCGGCCTCAAATTCTAGGGCACGTGCTAAAGCATCCACCAAGCGCGTTGGGTGGACTAGAAGAAGCGCTTGCCTTGTCTCGCTGTCACGAGAGTAAGCCATCGGAGAATGCCTGTACTGCCAACCGCTCCATAACATTCTCGGGCGTAGCAGGATACGCAAGGCGAACGAGGCGGGCTACGTCGGCTTCAAACTCCTACAGAGACTCATTTGCCTTTTGAATGCGATTTTTTAGCTGGGAATGAGAGACATGTTCCAAATGAGCTTGGCCGTACCTCATTTCTAAATGTCGTACCAATTGCTGATAATGTCCCTGTTCCGATGGTGACAGCCTTGTGACAGTGTCTGCAGAATATCAGTCGCATCTCCTCGCAGTGCGATATTCAAAGCGGTAGCTTTTTCAGCGATTGTCCAGCCGTTCGCTCTCGCAGCGGCTTCAAATTGGCAAAAATAATTGGCCCAAGCGGTTTTTCCGTCAAACTGTGGAGGTTTCATAACTGATTTTGAGGCATACCTATTTTCGACTAATTTCGGTCCCTCCGATGTTTCTTGACATTTTGGTGGATTTGCCTTTGCTATTTCTTCTCTTAAAATTTCGATTTTTCTATTTACATCTTCCTCAATCTCTGTTATTTTGTCTTGTGTATCTGTTATCTTCTCTTCTAATTCCCTGGAATTTTCTGTTATCTTTTCTTCTAAATTAAGTATTTTATTATTAAAGCTGGCCTGCATGTCTTTAGAATTTTCTGCGATTTTATCTTCTAAAATATTAATTAAATCCTGTGAATTTTTCATAATTTTATCGCTGATTTTATCTTCTAAATTATTCAAATTGCCGTTTAAATTGTCTTGCAATTCCCGGGAATATTTCGTAATTTTATCTTCTAATTTTTGTAAGGACGAGTCAAGGTCACCTTCCAACTCAAAGCAAAATGTTTCAGGATCCTCACCTTCCTCCACCAAAATGTCTCTCAGTCTGGCTTGAAAATGCTTTTCTTTCCATCTGTTTCGCATTCCCTCTCTTCCAATACGCATTTTAATTCCGACACTTTCAAGTCTTTCAACAATTTTTTCGGAGCCATTGTCTGTCTTTTTATTTTCCTAGTCTATCACACACGCCACACTTGACACCAATTGTTTCGTTTTTCGTCGGTTCCGTGTGGATAGAAAGTCACAATTTATTTAAACACTATTTATTTAACACTAATTAACAAAAACAATAACGATAAAAGACTTATAGAACTATTTACAAACGATTTATAACTAAGAATTTATTTTGAATTTTAGCGCGTCAACTGCACAGGTATATTTATAACTGCCCTCTCTAGGCCACAGCCGCCGGCTTTTATACCTACAGTTAAAGTTTACTAGAATAGTCCATAGATCGTTAGGTGCATAGAGAAGGTTTTCGAATGTTCTCGCATGTACGCGTCCATTCTAGTGGGTCTCGATTCTTCTCGAATGAGTCATTGCGGTGTCTATGCGATGTTAAGGTCATCCGAGGGCGGGCCATATTGTGAGGTTAGGGAATGAGTCCACACTGGCTTCGCAATAATATATATATATATATATATATATATATATATATATATATATATATATATATATATATATATATATATATATATATATATATATATATATGGTACAATCTTACCTATCAAGCCTTTCTACTAACTTTTAAAAGTACAGTTTTACACTTTATGGCCACAGGATAAATAAAATGAATACAATAAGAATAGTTGTTTTCAGCGTACATTAGCGAGAGTAAAATGAGAATCGAATTCAAATATGCAAGGCGCAAAAATATTTAAATAAAAAACTGACTCTCCAGGTAAAGCTACGACCAAATAAGATTCCCCACATTGTTATTGCTGTTAAAACCCCCTGTCTAAATAAAATTAGCTTTACTCTTTTAGGCTAGACACATCCGGGTTATAAGGCTTCAAATGAGACACGTGGAACATACCTCTCTCTTCGTCGGTATTTTCCATATAATTAATTAAAATATAAGTTGACAGGCGTACCTTCTTTTTAATACGATATGGACCCTCAAAAAGAAGAATAAACTTCTTGGCTTTTGATGATAGGACTGAAGAAACGGGGTTCGCTTTAAGCAACACCAGATCTCCAGTAGCAAATTCTTTATAATGCCGACCAGGGTGTAATATCTTCCGACGTTCAGCGCGGCTTTGCAAGACCTCTCTAGCTAAAATAAGTTTCTTTTCAGAACTAAGCACCTTAGGCCTATCAGGATAATCGACCAGTTCTCGTGTAAAAGAGGTAAGCGGTTCCTTGAAATGTAATTCGGAAGGTGTAAAGCCTGTAGATTCATGCACCACAGAATTAAAAAACTGACCAAATTTCCGTACATGTTTAGCCCAGGCCGTATGTTGGCTCAAAGCTCAAAGCAATATGTTCTAAAGAGACGACCTAATTCGCGCATGTATCTTTCACATAATATACCAAAAACACTTTACTTTTGCACTGGACATCATCAGCAGATGATTAAAAGTGAAGCTAAAGTTTCCAACCTCAATTGCATTCTATGATGATAGAATACTATAGAGCAGTAGATATTTATCTCACTTAATCTTCTAAGAATTCAGAATAGTTCTAATTTGGAAAGTACGTCTACTGGATCTGTGTCTATGAAAGGAATTTCAAGAATGAAGACACAATATTGGAGTATGATCAATTTACTACAAAACTCATTTAAATAAACAACAATGTATTTTATAGATAGATTGCTACCTAACCTGGTGCATCTCAAAAGTGGGTCACCCCACTCACCCCTATAACTTTTTTATTTTTTTCAGAAAAAAAACGAGATTTGGTATCTTAGTATTTGATAAAAATTAGGATTGATTGACGTATTCAATTCTTTTTGGCCACTTCCTGTTTTACCGGAAATAATTGCAACTTTTGATTTTTAAATGGCACCCTCGGTATTTTTTTACTTTATGCAATAGAAAAAGACACACAAAAAGTCAACTTTTGACATTTTTGCTTAAAACACAATAATTGTATTTTAAATGTTAATCTAGAGTGCCATGACTGATTTAAAAACACTAATTTTTAATCAAGAAGCCTTGGAAAATGGATTTGGTCGTCTAATGTATTGAATGTCTTGTCTTGGGCGGTTAAAAGATGCCCAAATCGTATTTTTAATCATATCTCAATTTTCTCAAATGGAACGAGGGTGGTTCATTAGCATATTTGGAAAAAGCATTTTTTACGAATAATTTGGTGCCACAGACTTTGGTATTTCGTATCAAATTATCGTTATGAAACGCATGTTGCAGTTACAACCATATTCGAAAATGTCAAAAGTTGACATAATATGATATATCAATCTATTCAGAATTGAATAAAGTAATAAAATACCGAGGGTGCCATTTAAAAATCAAAAGTTGTAATTTTCGGTGACGAGAAAGTTCGATTAAAACGGTAGTAGATCGAGCTTGGAGAACAGTGCAGTCGTTATCGGTAAAATAGTTGCCTGATTTTATTAATTTTTTTTGTTTTTCTTTTTAATTTTCTAATTTTTATAAAGATTATGTATCATTTACTTGAAAAAACGTAGGAAAAATAAAACTGATTTGGTATTTTTGCCATTTTTTATATAAGTAAGTAATGCTATTTAAAATATTTATATCACGGTCATGACTTGCGTGCTATCTTGGGAATTTTGTTAGCAAGTGTGCAAAATATCATTTATGGTGTGCAAAATTGTGTAAAATGTGTGCAAAATAGTGGTATATCTCTTTTTGAATTTCTTCTAGTACGGGGGGCAAACTTGACCGACCTTCGACGTAGGTAGTGTATAAATTCCCTTGAGAACCTGGTACACCACCTTCCCCTATCATTCAAATATTAGTTGTCCACCATCCAAACCAAATCGAAACGATAGTTCTTAATTGAAAAACGCGCTAGGATCGTTTTTTCCGTCTCGCCAAACATCGCTCCACTAATACACAAACACACTCCTGACTATAACGTCGAAATCAATAATTAAATTGTTAAAAATTGTTTAACCGTCGCTGAAAGTTATTTTAGTCGACAGATGCGTTAAAACGGAATTATTGTTTTTCAGTGCGATAATGTTTTCAAACAAAACGAGGTCGCAGAAAAACGTGAAACTGAAAAAGTTGGAGGAAGTGATCTTGCCCAGTGCCAAGTTGAAGTTTTGCGTCGATCAGTTGCAGAATTTGAATTTCATGTTCCACAAGAGGCTGGAGCAGGATAACGAGCTGGATAATACAACTGGTAGGAATAGAACATAGAGTTTCTTTTTTCTAATCTATTTTTTAAAAGTTATTTGTATGTTGTACCGTATGATCGAATAAAAACGGCGTCCAGTTGGCTTGGAAATTACCATCGATGACATTTTCCAGATAACGTATAAAATGACAGCGATCTTCATTTCACAGCCATCGCTGACGCCTATTTTTTTTTTCGATTATATTGTATACCGGATGGTGCATCGTCGTTGGAAATACCGGGTGCGTCTCAAAAGTGGCTCACCTCTATAACTTTTTTATTTTTTCAGATAAAAAAACGAGGTTTGCATGGTATGTTAGTATATGACATAAATTAGGAATTATTGAATTTTTTAATTGTTTTCGGTCACTTCCAGTTTCACCGGAAATTACTATAACTTTTGATTTTTAAATGGCACCCTTCGTATTTTTTACTTTATTCAATAGAAAATGACTTTCTGAATCGAATGACATATCATATGTCAACTTTTGACATATTCACTCAAAAACAAATTGTATTTTAAATTTCAATCTAGAGTGGATGTGTTAAAAATACTAATTTTTAATCAATGAGTCTTGGAAAAATACATTTGATCGTCTAATGCTTGTCCTGGCATTAGCATTTTTGGAAAAATATTTTTTTACGAATGAGTCAAATTGTCGTTATGAACCGGATGTTATAATTTCAAATAAACCATATTCGAAGATGTCAAAAGTTGACATATGATATGTCATTCTATTTAGAGTGCCATTTTCTATTGAATAAAGCAAAAAAAAATCGATAGTGCCATTTTAAAATCAAAAGTTGTAGTAGGTGAAACCGGAAATGGCCGAAAACTATTGAATATGTCAATCAATCCTAATTTATGTCGTATACTAACATACCAAATCTCGTTTTTTTATCTGAAAAAATATAAAAGTTATAGGGGGTGAGTCACTTTCGAGACGCATCCGGTATAGGAAATCCCATGCAAATTTTGAACTGTTCAAATATTGGCTTCCCTAATGATTTTATAGCAAAGTCCTAAATAGATTTTTTAAAGGTCTGCGTTTGGTACACACACATGCTAAATTTGAACAATTTTGGACAAGCCGATTTTAAATAATTTCAGAAAACCTGCATCTCTTTTTAAATTAAAATTAAGAAATTAAAAAAAACAGGTAACAATCAAACACCAGTCAAAAATCGACGGTGTATCTGACATGTTTTGGATAATTTTCCCTGAACATTAAAATTAAATTACTTTTGGCAATGACAAAATCATAGTTTGAAAACCCAATTGTAATGTATGTCGTTTTTGACTGATGATTGATTATTACCTGTTAGGTTTTAATTTAGAATTAGTTGCAATTTCTCTTAAAATACTCAAAATGGGCTAGTCCAAAATTGTTCAAATTTGGCATGTGTATTTACATTTACTATACGCAAACCTTTAAAGACACTATGAACCACTTCGCTGTAAAATCAATAGAGGAGCCAAAATAAAAAAAGAAGAAGAAAAAGAAGAAGAAATAAAAAAGAAAGAAGAGAAAAGAAACCGAGATGTTCAAAATTTGCATGGTATTTCCTATGTTTCCAACAACGATGCACCACCAGGTGTATACTGTCCATTCAAAAGTTACTGGACTCTTTATCTTGTATCTATATTGCTGGTATTTTTTAAATAGAAAAATATTAAGTACAGAATAATAACTCTGATAATATAGATAGAATAGTAACAGAATCAATAATAAATAATTATAGTATAGACAAATTTTTCTGAATAATAATAATATAGTTACAACTATGCTATTGTTATTCAGAACTTATTAGCTTATAAGGACAGTAAGGACTATCTAAATTTTATTAATAAAAATAAAATAGAGAAACCAAAACAAATCGTATAAATTGAACTCGCTCAAAGCCAAGTTCAAGTTTTGTATCGATCAGTTGCAGAATGTGAATTTGATGATTCACAATAGATTGGAATAAGACATTTAACTGGATACTAGAACTGGTAGCTGATAGCAGTAGAATATATATTACGATCTGTTGTTAATATTATATGTTTTTAATATTATAATTTGATCTTGTGTATAAATATTATCTATTCAAAACTTAGTGCTTAGGCTTATGAAAAATAAATATTAATTATTTTATTTTCCACTATACATTTCCAAAAATACTACATGATTTGCTGTACTGCAGCTACTTCAGGTGAGAAAGCTAAAGAATAGTTCAGCTTACGTGAAGAAGTTTTAGTACAGCGAATCACATAATATTTTTGAAAATACTACCGTGTAGTGTATAGTGTAGTGTAACAAATTTTATAAACAAATTTTTAACAGTATAGATTTAATTTAAAATAATAAATGTATTAATGATATGTTTTCGTTAATTACCTTATAATGCATATTATTCGGCTAATAAACAATAATCAATAATTAACTAAACAATAATCAACTCGAACGAATGAAAATGGTTCTGAAATCTTTCTCTAAACCGATAAAAATATTAATAAAAAATGTTGGAATTGAAATGTACTCATACTGGGTTAGAGAACGTTTAGTCGTTTAGACAAATAATATAAAAATAATAAAAAAGAATAATTCAAAAGTAAAAATGTTGAGGTTGCTACCGGGATTAAGGTATCATCATCATTTTCAGCTTATTCAACCATTTCCAATTATGGTGTCCCCTGTGACTCCCTCATATATTTAGATATTCTCTTTGTAGTTGGACCCATTGTAGTCTATTGTGGGCTATGCGGGCCCAAGTTATCAGTTATCCCTGCTAATTTTCATGGTCCCATCTCAGGTTAGGTCTTCTTGTAGGTCTCTTAATTCCTCGTGGGTATCATGCTGTAATTTTTGTGGTCCATCTGTTGTCCGTTCTTCTTTCCAGAGGTTTCTTGCCCATTGCCATTTGAGGAATTTGACTCTATGGACGACATCTATTACCTAGGTCTTTTGTCGTATCCACTCTATTCTTTTACGGTCTCTCTTGGTTATTCCCAGGATATTTCGTTGTTCCATTGAGCGTTCTGCGACCTACAGTTTTCTTATGATGTCATGCATAGGTCATGACTGGTAGTACACATTGCTCCAATGTTTTCTTCTTTAGATAGCGTGGCATTCTAGATTTGAATATGATTGAGTTTCTTCTATAAGTACTCCATGCAACTTAATTCTTCTGTTTAATCCGGTAATAGAGGTCGAGGAGCAGAAGGGGACGGGGAACTTAATTCTTCGGTTGGTTTTTGGTAGTAGAGATCCCGAGCTGTATTAGTTGTCCGAAATATATATGTATTCTTCTACTATTGCCAATGTTGTGTTATTTATTAGAATGTTTAGAATGATTACGGATTGAGGTATATTTTGGGTAATTTTTAACATCTAAATATAAGTTTAAATTTAAAAAATAGGAATTCCCCGAATAATATTATATTATATCTATTTAAAAATACCCATTAATTTATAAAAAAATAACAAGTTATTGTTTGAGTGAATATATTCTCAGCAGATTATAATCTATCCTACTATTATAAAATGAATTATATACGTCTAGATTAAATAAATTGAAACTTGATAAGTTGTTGCAGTTTATTGCTGAAATTCTAGTTATTTCTAGATATCCTAGAGAACATTTTCTTTAATAAATATCGTATGATCGAATAAAAACGGCGTCAGCGATGGCTATGAAATGACGATCGATGACATTTCCCATATAATTTTACATATAAAATGACAGGAATCTTCATTTCATAGCCATCGCTGAGCCGTTTTTATTCGATCATACGGTACATTCTTGGCTGAAAAAAATTGGAGGTTTATAAAATGCATATTTCATAAAATTAATATAGACCCTTTCTCTGCGACAGTTTTTTAAATTTCTTTAATGACTATGAAATATCAAAGGTGTGGATACCTTGATTTTAAGAGGTTTTTGTTTAATTTATTATATTATATTGTTTAAGTTGTTTTTGTTTAATTTGTTATATATTATGTTTATTAGGGTTATAGTTATATAATTATGATAGGGGATGATGAAAAAAAAATTCTGGTAAAGTCTGAGCTTTTAATATTAATATTCAGAGGTCTATCATTGTGATTTTATATTTCCCATTTAAATAAAACGGGGAAACAAATTCTTTTTTTTGCAACGCGTTCTAACAAATCAGCGTTTTGGAAAATTCGATACACATTCTTATAGGAAATTGAACGGTCTTCAAAAAAGGTCTGTTATGAATTTTCATTTAATAGACTCATTTGAAAGTTATTCACGTTTAAAGTTCAACATAAAATAGTATATGACAACTTCCACAATTTTTTATATTTTATCAGGAAATAATGGCTAATAAACATAAAATATAGTCTACTACTTGACCTTGCCAAAATTATCATCTATTGTCATTCGCCAGCCGTCTTTGACACCGTTTTTTTGTCGATCATACCTATAATAATACTAATGAAATTTATACATTTTTTCTTTCAGAAAAGTCAATTTTACTTGCCAGATCAGTGACAGAAAGATTGGTTCAACGGCTTTTTTGCGCTGTAGGACAAAACGATCCCAGATTTTCGTCAAAGTTTTTAATAGAAAACAATTTTATTGCTAGTCAAGTACGTATAAATTAATTTTAACCTGTTAAGTCGTTTATTAACTACTTCATCATTTCCTTTGACGCATTCTTAATTTACAGTTTCATATACGATTTTATAATTATTAATATGGGTATATTGTATTTTATCGTAAAAGTTTATGTTTTTAATAGTATACATACAGGGTTGTTCACCACATACGACACGGAGTATTGTAGCTAAACGATGAAATTTTTACAAATTGTTTTGGTTCGATGACGGACTATTAGAGGTACAATTTAAAAATAATTTTACAAGATACAGTGTCCCAAATAAGTAAAAAATATCAAAGTTGTATTTTTTTAAATGGAACACCCTTTATATTATTACATTTTTAGTTTCTACGATTAAAATAAAGGTAAATTTGATTAAGGTTTATTATACTTAAACCTTACCGTTTTTGAAATATTTTCAATTTTGTGAAATTGCAGTAAAAATTTTAAGGCTTCATTTCTCCAAGGGTATCAAAGTTTTTAATACTAAATATTTACTGAAGTTTATTTACTGATCAGTTATTGTGTTGCAATAATGCAAATAATACTACCTTTATACAGAGTGCTCAAAAATTTATTTTAAATAATTATTAGCTTCAAACGGCAATAACTTGTTTAATTTAAATGGTTACACCCTGTATATTTTACGATAATCAGATGCACAATTTAATTGTCTATCAAATTATATTATACCATTTTTTACCTATCTCTTTAAGTTTCCGTAGAAAATGCATTTTCTTGTAATTTAGAACTTATTTATCAATATACCCATGGACTATTGACATTTCAGATTATTTTTAAAGATGTACCAAATTTTTAAAGAGTACAGATACTAATATTGTCGATATAATTCGTTTATTTCATTAAAAAATAAAAAAAACTGTTTAAATATTTGTTAAAGAGGATCAATTAATATGATTCCAGCTGTGATTCCAGTATTCAAACTACATTAACTGACTGTTTGCGTTGATTAATAATAATTGCTCCAAATACTAAAAAACTGGATTTTGTATGGGCATTAGACAGTGTGATAAAAAGTAACACCTTAAAAATGATATTTCATTTTTTAATAAATGCTTATTTATAACAACAGAGACTTTAATTTGATAAGTTATTATTATATTGATTTCTGACTCAAATCCACATTTATTTATAATAATTTATTAACGAACACAATTAAGTATGTAATTAATTAGTATATGGGCGGAAATAATGGTGTTATATTTAATTAATGGTATACTCTTTTTATAAAGATTTAAATAGTTTTCTTTTTGCATATTAGTCGGATTAGTAATATTATCGTTTTGCTAAAACGATAATATTACTTAGTCTGTACATTTTGTACATTTGTTGCTTTAAAAACAATCTAAAATGTCAATATTCCATAGATATATTGATAAATGAAGTCTAAATTATAAGAAAATGCATTTTCTACGAAAACTTGAAGGGATAGGTAAAAATGGTATAATAAATTTGATAGACAATTTAATTGTGCATCTGATTCTCCTAAAATATACAGGGCATTCTATTTAAATTAAAGAAGTTGTTGCCGTTTGAAGTTAATAATTATTTAAAGTAAATTTTTAGACACTCTCTATAAAGTAGTATTATTTTTATTATTGCAACACAATAACTGATCAATAAATAAACTTCATTAAATATTTAGTATTAAAAACATTGATACCCTTGGAGAAATAAAGCTTTAAAATTTTTACTGCAATTTCACAAAATTGAAAATATTTCAAAAACGTAATGTTTAAGTATAATAAACCTTAATCAAATTTACCTTTATTTTAATCGTAGAAACTAAAAATGTAATAATATACAGGGTGTTCCATTTAAAAAAATACAACTTTGATATTTTTTATTTATTTGGGACACTCTGTATCTTGTAAAAATATTTTTAAATTGTAGCTCTAATAGTCCTTCAACGAACCCCAAACTTACAATTTGTAAAAATCTCATCGTTTAGCTACAATACTCCGTGTCGTATGTGGTAAACAACCCTGTATATATGTGGTGTCAAAAATTAAATCTTATGTTGATGTGTTAGGTGTATCTTGAAATATTATGTGTTTATATGTTTAATGGATTATTCATGTTTTGTTAACTACTCTTGTTTTCTTTTATGTACAAATCCATATTTTGATATACAGGGTGTTCCAGAAATAAGTGCAAGTATTTTAACTGGTAGTATAGTTCGACCCCAGAAACACGCACATGAGTTTTTTTGCGAAAAAAAATGTTGAAATTTTTATATTTTTCTTGAAATTTTCCGGAAAATATTGAAAAACTTTTGAGTGTCGCTTTTTTAGTTTCTGGAAATTTGTTACTTGTGCTTTGAGAGAATGCAGTGTTACCACCTCCTACGTTAGTCACATTCTGTATGCTTATAAGTTAGAAGTTCACATTTTTAAATTTCTACAGAAAAATATTTTCATTAATTTTATTCACTGTAGAATTTTTAATCATTGTAGATTATTATTAAGTATAGTGCAAGGTCTACTATATTTTAAAATAGAAAACAAATTTCTTGCAGTATAGGTATATAGTAAAATTATATAAGGATTCTTGCCACTTAACGTGATATATAGAAGCTTGCTGCTGTTAACGCTATTATGTGGATCAACCTGCCTCACTGGCCGAAGCTGCTTACCCATCATCAGGTGAGCTTGGGCAGATCCACAAAATGACAACCACAGCGCAGAGATAGTTAATTCCGACTTGTCGGAAAGTGTCGGTTAGATATTAAGTCCCGAACGGTAGATAGCGGCCTGCGTGCAATGGAGCGTGCAATGCAGTGGGAAAAAAGCCTTTTACCATCTTTTTACTATCGATAGTTTCGCCTCGGTGGTACGAAAGTACTACCATTGCACGCAGGCCGCTATCTACCGTTCGGGACTTAATATCTAACCGACACTTTCCGACAAGTCGGAATTAACTATCTCTGCGCTGTGGTTGTCATTTTGTGGATCTGCCCAAGCTCACCTGATGATGGAGTAGGGCTCCGAAACCGGTAGTAAGAGCAGGTTGATCCACATTATGACAAACACAGCGTAGAATTAAATTTCTATATCAGCAGTTAAATGGCAAGAATCCTTATATAATTTTACTATATTTTAAATACCTTTTGTACAGTTCGATAAAAAAGTGAAATTAAATAATGAACTATTATAAGCAGGTTTTCAACAGTTCAGAATCAGCGCCCTCTATTATATATGTAAAAAGTCAACGTTTGACCTACATTTAAACAGATCAGCTGATGGCATTTTAGGCTTTCCAATTCATTTGAGATTTTACTCAAATAAACCTCTGAAAACTAAAAAAAGGCAAATGTAATACAAAAATTCTTTTACTATTCAAATAGAAATATAAATTATTTCTGTGTTTATTATCAAAAACAAGAGTGTGAGACAGAAAAACAGAGAAATTTAAATTTTTAAAAAATAATCCTAAATCTAGTCAATCATTCTAGTCGATGTGTCAACACTGGGTGTCGAACAAGCTGAGATTCTGGTAATTGCTTGGTATTTACGGCTAGTTACCGATTACTACCGGCAGCGGCAGCTTTCAAAATATTGACATATTTTTTTTAAATTTTCGAAGTTAAACAACTGAGTTATTAACAATTAATTTTAAAAATGGTAAAGAGAAATTATGTTTCTTTTGACCAGATGTACCATCCTTTAAAATACTTGCCCTTATTTCCGGGAGAGCCTGTATATTTTATGGCAATTTCATCTATAATTATGATAATTCAATTATTAAACGTTAAGCTCCGTTCAGAACCTAGAAATTACTGGAAGTTTGTTCCTCTAATTTTAAAACGTCAAATTTAGTGGTCGTAATCTTCAATTAGTAACAAACTTTTTTTTAAATGTCACTTTGGTCTTTGATTATCATCCGTCGAGAAAAATTGTGGTTAGAAATAAAAACTTGATTGTTTTATGAGCTAGAATTATTAGGCTTTCTTTATGGATACAATTGACTACCGCCAGCTGTGGCTAGAATATTCTATTAATTTTAATTGTATTTTTATAGATATGTCAATGGTCGTAAAATCATAAAGTATAATTGAAACCACTAATTTATTTCACAAATTTTGAAGTTCTGAAAGAAGCATAAGACACTGTCACTTAAAATCATTTTTATTATTTAGTTAGTCATCTCTGAATTGTATTTATTAAAATTGTGGTTATTTTTGTTACACGCAACAATTTATTTTTAATTTAAAAATAAAGTAAATTGAATTGTTGATTGAAATTTTGAAATACTGCTTTTTACAGTATCGATTCTTAATAAACAAATGTACATTTTTTTTTAATTTAAAATATTGCGAAAAAAAGGTGACAGAAGTCTATAGATGTTTTTATAAACTACATTTTGTTTGTTAAATTCTACAGGGTTGTTCACCACATACGACACGGAGTATTGTAGCTAAACGATGAGATTTTTACAAATTGTAAGTTTTGGGTTCGATGAAGGACTATTAGAGGTACAATTTAAAAATAATTTTACAAGATACAGAGTGTCCCAAATAAGTAAAAAATATCAATAGTATTAAAAACATTGATACCCTTGGAGAAATGAAGCTTTAAAATTTTTACTGCAATTTCACAAAATTGAAAATTCAAAAACGGTAAGGTTTAAGTATAATAAACCTTAATCAAATTTACCTTTATTTTAATCGTAGAAACTAAAAATGTAATAATATACAGGGTGTTCCATTTAAAAAATACAACTTTGATATTTTTTTATTTATTTGGGACATACTCTGTATCTTGTAAAAATAATTTTAAATTGTAGCTCTAATAGTCCTTCAACGAACCCCAAACTTACAATTTGTAAAAATCTCATCGTTTAGCTACAATACTCCGTGTCGTATGTGGTGAACAACCCTGTATATGAATATAATTTGACAAGCTTTGTACATGTAAGAATATATTTCAGTACAATCCTACACATTTAGAGTATCTGGTTCGATTGGACGCTCTTTCATACCCTCGCCTGTACTCTTCTGAAGACGATCTGTCCTACGAAATTTTGGAAAATGATCAAGATTGTCCGTCTGGATATGCAAAAATTAGACTTAACTCTGCTACACTTCAAACTTGGAAAGAGTTTACAAACTCAAGTGGCTATCTTAGAAGGTAATTTATTTATATAAAAATTGACAAAATGGTTTAAAAGACGTTTTTCTTCCAGAGATCGAATTCAAGCTAAGATGGTGGAGATATTGGCACAAGCAGCAGCTCAGGATATACCAAATTCGCCATTAAATGTGGATGAGTCGATATTATGTGGAATACCTGGCAAAGTTATAGATCCGTACGCGTTGCATCATATTTTGAAAATACCAGCTAATCAACAAGTGTTCTATGGTCCAGGTGTAGTAAAAACTTTTATTACAGATTATGAAATATAGGACTATCTGCGAATTTCTCGATTCAACACATCTATTTGAGCATTTTTTTTTATTAATACAAGGTGTTTCAAAAAACATGTGCTATCTCCCGGAAGGCGATTCATCACGTAAAAACAAGTTTTATTTTTCATATCAACATAGGTCCGATTCTGCTTTGGTTCATAGCTGCAGGCTTAAAGTCTTTTTTTTTTTCGATTTATTATAATTTTCTTCCAATTGCTTTTAGTGATACGAATGAAATTTCGAGGTTCCAGGCGAAGAGGGTTATTTCGTGTTTCCTCGTCTATTGTGTAAAATCGCTTATTTTTGGGGCTTACTCAACCGGGTCTCACAATGCAAATTCACCTCAAATATCTATTTAGTTGGTCATTGGCAAGCACTCTCTCATTGTACATGAAAATAACAAAACAAACATTTACTGATCTGGATAAAATTGATAGTTAAATAGTAAGACTCACCCGGGGGTACTCCGCCCCCTAGCCACTGATATATTCTATTCAATATATCCCATTCCATATTGTCCATCTAATTCAAATATCATTCGGTTATATATTGGTTAATCATCTTCAACAACTAGCTAGTGTCACCTGAAATAGTATAGGGGCTTCCCCGGACGCAATTCTGCCGCTAAACAGATTCGCATCCCAATCGAATAGGCTAATTGGGTAGCTCACTATCCCAACGCCGCATCGTGTCAATCGAGAAGACAAGGGAGACCTCAAACTCTCAAGACTAGGGAATGCAATCCCGCACCAAAATCTCAATCCCGCAAACCCGCGGGATTAAAGCAATCAATCCCGCGGGATTGTAAACAATAAATGCTCCTCTTTGTACTTAACCTATTAAACTTGCTAATATAATGGTTTTATGCAATTAATTGAAATTTTAACTATGTACGACTAATCTGTATTGAAATTGAAAAAAAACAATTTGGTGGGTTTTTTAAAATTTTTTGTTTTAAGGAAAATACGAGGTTTTTTCGAAAAATATGCATTTATAGTCATACATTTGGTCCTAAATGGTACAAAAGGCATTGTACATTTTGCATAGGCCCACAATAGGTATATTGATATAGCGTGTATCTTAAACTAGCTGTACAGAAATTTGGACTAATGTATACAAGGTGTTCAAAGAATATATTTAATACTAAATAAACATATTTATTATAATTTATCTACTTATTTTATAAATAAAAATATTATTCTGAAGTTTTTTTATCTTGTGTTAGTTATCTGCTTTTAGATACACTCTATATCAATAATTTTTTGGCATATGCAGAATGTACAAAGCTTTTTGTACCATTTAGGACCATACGTATGACTAAATATGCATATTTTTCGAAAAAACGTCGTATTTTCATTAAAACAAAAAAATTAAAAAACCGACCAAATTGTTTTTTCTAATTTCAATACAGATTAGTCGTACTGTGGTACTTGGTAAAAATTTCGATTTTTTAAGAATTGTAAATTTGCGGTGAAAAAGATTCTTTACCAAATTTTCACACTCTTGTAAAACGCCCTGTATACGATAATTCGCTAAATATACTTTCGAAAACCACAGAGCATCTTAGTCACAATAGATGCATTTAAAACCTGGTCCCAACCACATCCCAAAATCTTTTTTAGTTCAAGAGATATTCAACTTTAAATTTACCTTAAAATTTTGCTTGTCCCGATAATTATGTCCGGCAGTTTATTTGACGAAATTGTCCACAAGTACTAGTTAAACACTTTTCTTCACTTACGCTGCTTATACGCACATACGCCAGAAAGAAATCTAACAACTAACGTGTTTGTTTCACTTATTTTTAATGGCCAAGGCGTAAGGGGATTTAAGTATTCGGTTACCCAGTAGTAATGTGTCAATCCCGCAGATTCCGCACGGTAAATCCCGCAACTTTGATCCCGCGGAATTTCAGCGGGATCCCGCATTTGTGGGATCCAGCATTTGCGGGATTGCATTCCCTACTCAAGACCAACCTCGAAGGCAAGACGTCACAAGAGGTTTTCTTCTCATGGTCAAACGACCCGTTGCCTTACAGTACTTGCAACGTTTACAGTCAAAAGACTCTCAAACCCCAAATATCAGCTCTATGACAAAACACAACACAACACAACAGCCTGCCGGCCTATCAACAACTGCTTCGCCTCCGGCAAGCTAAGCCTCCTCTTATATCACAATTTTACCGGATCGCAAATATTTAGATTACTTGCCAATGAATCATACTATTTTCTCTAATCGACTTTAAAATAAAGTGTTTTAGCATTACTAGATAAATAAATAGAGAGTTTCCGAAGGAATGCATATTGTTTATTAGAATAGTGAATAAATAAAAGCATTATTACGACGAACTTATTTTCCAAGTTTTACAATTGAAAAAAGCCGACAGTAGGCAAAGTTAGCCGAGGAAATACGCCTAAATAATATCCCTCTTCACTATTCGACCTTGCTCTACTTCGGAATATTTCGCGAATAGTGTAGTAGCAGTTTTAGATTCCACTTATTTGGTACCTACTTTCTCTTGAGTTTCTCTAAATGCGTTTTTGCTCTGTCGTATGTGCAAAATCTCCAGACATCGTCCTATATTTGACAAGCTTTACTTGAATAAGACATATACATAATAGGTTTCAAAAGGAATAACTAAAATTTAGCTGTCAAGTGTTTCGTTTAGGATTACTTGATCCTTCAGGGCTTATTTCCATTTCCATCATTACGGCAGTCACACAGGCACACACACATTACGGCAGTCTACACTGCTATATTGTATTGCTATTTTATTTTTGATCGGAAATATTTCTGACTTCAATTTAATTCAATTTGAATATCAATGTCCTATAATATAATGATAACACAAAACAGACTTTTGTTTTTTTATTATTATACTTTGTTTTTTTTTTGTTCCTATTATTATTCTCTGCTTAATTAATCATATGTAATATTGATACAAGTAAACAAAAATTGGACAATTTTCGAATCTTAATTATTTTGATAGTTTCCTGTTATCGTAGATGATGTATAAAATTAGGTTAATCTTTGGAGAATTAATCACCGCAACCTTATAGATTTCTTGTGTCCCCCTTTTTTAAGTTCTAACTCATCATACAGTCTCAGGGCTTTGGCAAAAGCCAGTATTTGAGACGGTTCTACAGAGGTTAAAAGAAGAATATATAGGAGGGTGGTTACTCACCGAGACCTTACAGATCTATTGTTTGTCCCCCTTTCTGGAGTTATAACGAGTTATAACTCATCATACAGTCTCAGGGCTTCGACAAAAGCCAGTATCTGAGACGGTTTTACAGAGGTTAGTTCTCCATCTCCAATATCAGTCGTACTAGACGTCGTGGCACGAATGGTTGTCATCTCAGTGCACTCAGTGATGAGGTGTTCTGATATTTCCCCATTTTCTCCACTGAACCTGCATTCGCCGTTGTTTCTTAGCTTCAATAATCTACTGAGGTGTTCGTTGAGGAGACAGTGTACTGTTAAAAACCCCTTGACAATCCGAAGATTGTTTTTACTTGAATCAAGGAATATCTTTGATTTTCCTCGGTCGTAAATTCTGGGAAACTTACGACCTGTTTACTACTTATCTATACATATTTCGACCTTCTGAAAACAATACACCATTTTTTCAAGCAATGTGGCAGTATAAATTTCTTATCAAAATGGCTTCTAACTAATAATAATAAATTTTATTTTATAGGCTATTAATGATTATTTTGAATTAATATACATATTTGCTTATTTACTGTTACCTACTGCGACTTGCTTTATATCAAAGCTTTATATTAATAAAAATATTTTAAAATAAAAAGTCATTATATTTTTAATCTACGACAATGTCATTATGACACATTTAACATTGTCATTTGGATGACATTATGGCTTTCATAATAGCACTAGTGCTATTAAGAATTCATAATAACACGCAAATTTTAAAATAAGAAACAAACAAAAAAAGGTACCTAAATACGTTTATTTATTGTAAACATTAATTATAATATCAGTACAATTGTAAAAAATGTCTATACCTATGTGGCGGATCCATCTTTCCAAAAAAATCCTGTATGTGCAGTGGCGAAATACTCATACAGAATTTTTTTTTTGGAAAGATCAGTACCATTGGTTAAATTAATTCCAGACGATGACAGGTGAGTTGAATTTTTAGAAAGTAAATTTATTTCTTGAGTGCTTGAACTTGAAGACCTATCTTTGCCAGAAATGTTACCCAAAATATTACATGACACTTTTTCCTTATTTTCTTTGGAATTTTCTATACAGCTCTCTGCCACTGTGTTAGAGCGCCAACCACCATGTCTTTTAACAGTTAATAATTCCAGCAACGACGCAGACGATCTACGGAAACAATGTCCAGTGTATTGTTGTGGATTTGGAAAACTTAGGAACAATGCTATTTTATACGGCATTTTCCATAAAGTATTAATGCCAACGGGTTGCTTAATACATTTTCCATTTCTGTACCCCACAAAAAATCGAGTATGCTCTGTGTTGCTTGGCCGCATAGCTATATATCTTCGAACCATTTCCGCCATCTTTATTCCTTCAACATTCCCTTTCGTTACAAAAAAAATCTCGTGATGTCTTTGTTTTCGTAAATGGTATAATGACATGAATGCATTGTCTTTCACCTATAACATTTTGCAGCTGCAGATTTGTCAACTCGATTCGCCGGCAGGCTCCCGCAAGTCCCACTATCAATGAAACTTTTGTCAGGAAATAAGTTTTATCATCAGCTTCCAACAAAAAACGAGTTATGTCTTCTTTTCTTAAAATTCTCGATTTTTTTGTCCGAAATCCTTCCGATTTTCTTTTTAGAAATGCAATTAAATGGACGTACTTACTAATATCTGTATTTTTGTTCACTGATATAACTGAACGTAGCATGGAATAATATACCCAGAGTGATAAAGCCTTCCTTGTTTGAAAGATGTTCAAAATATGCCAGGAGAACCTTTTCGTTACTACTATTCTTGATTCCTTTCCCTTTACACCAATCTTCAAGTTTTACATAGGCTTGCTCGTACGTTTGTCTTGATTTTTCAGGAAGTAGGGAATCGACCACATTTTGCACAATGCCTTCAGTATCCGAAGGAACACTTTCAGAATCAGAATCACCCATATTAATATTATTTTTTGCTTTTTGCTAAAACTGCACGTTTAACACAAAATTGAACATCAATAATTGAGTTGTCAAAGTCAAAATGGAAACAATCAACAAGCACGGTTACCACGGCGTCGACTAATATGGGCACCTGATAATTTTGAATTTTAATTTTTATGAGGATAACTCTGATATTTTAAATTAAATCAAATCTTTTTGGATCGTCCCTCGTGTCGCGTCGTAGAATAAATTTTGAATGATACACGTTCGATACGAACTTTTTAGTTAAACTTGTGTAACTAAGAAGCAACTCGGCTAACGCCTCGTGGCTTAACGTTACACGCGTTTCATTATGATGTTCGTATCGAATTTGTATCAATAATAACTATAAAAACTCAGTGTTTCATTTGACTTATATTGGTAATTTTAGGTGGAAATGTTCCAAGATTTCCAGATACAAGAGACTTTCGCTTGGCTATAGTTGACGAACCTAATGGAATCAAAATCAAAATTGAATTCTTATCACCCGCTCTCTCAAATATTTCCATAAAAGTAATGGTACTTATAGCGATTGGAACCGATATGTGGCCATCCTCAACAGATTTTCCATCAAGAATACCGCTTGGACATCTGGACTGCCTATTATATCACCAAGCAGCTCAAACGGTTACCTTAGTTTTTCTAACAATAATTGGAAGTTAATAAAATATTTTGTTTTTGATTTTTTAGGGTATGTACTTAGTTGGATATGGTGTTCATTCCATAGCATGGCAAATACGAGTACCAGCAGCGGAATATTTCCTTCTAAATCATTATGGAAGTAAAAGTACAGTGAGAACTGTATTGGATATTTTATATGCTATTTTGAAAGATATTAACAATTTAAGAAAGTATCAAAAACCAGTAAGTGTACAAGCTACCAGTAAATGTAGAAAACATATGTAGAAATAGTCTATAATGAATTAATTTATTTTAATTACTTTTTTTGAAATTTTACTCAATATTATTTACTATAAATTTGGATGTTGCATTTATCTCTATGTATTAGTAAATACTAATACAAAAATATATAAATATTATCAATAAATATAAAATTTCAGAGGATATTGTTTTCATATCTTTATATCTTATATTCTTTATCAGTTGTATTATTATTCATCTTACTTAACTTACTTATCTAACTTATAATTGTAGATATCATACAAAATACTTAATAAATACATGCTCTACACCTTGCTAATAGAAGAACTAGAAGAAAGTTCTACTAAACCGTTCTCTGACATGATCTCTTGGTCTCCGATGTATTTATCCACAATAGTGTTAAAGCTTTTAGATAAGGCAATTGTAAGGTAAAATTTAGATACTAAAATACGTACGATTTTCTAATTCTTACAAATTTTCAGACTGTACTCTGAATTTCAATCAAACTACTTTTTTAAAAATGCCAATTTGTTAGTAAATCCTGGCCATCTTTGCGATGACGACTTCACCATTGAGGGGAACAATGTGAAAAATTATATGATGCGTCTCTTTGACGAATCCTTGATCTCTAATAAAGGTTCTATAAAAAATAAGTTTACTTTTTGTGCAAATGTCGATAATTTTTTTATTTTTTTAGGTGAAGAAGAATTTACAAATCTTCTAATAACACAAGAAACGGAAATAAAATTACTATACAGATGGAAAAGTTTAGTTGATAGCCTCTTGCCTCCTTCTAGTACTAGAAGTAGAAGATTGTTCTTTGCTCGTTCTAGAAACCGAAAAGAAATTGTACATACACAATACACTGCTAGACAATTAGAATACATTGGTTTAGTGCTACAGAATATGCTTAATGTAAAACAACACATTTTAAGGGTAAGAACCTTAAGAACTTAAAAGAAAATTAGAGCATCTGGACTAGAAGTGGTGAAAAAATAACTATTCGTTTCTCGAGTGCTCGGTACTTATCGATACCCGAAGTAACGAGTAACGAACTTAAAACCATATCATTACATTGATTACTATGACTACTTATAGTTTTTATTATTTAGTTTATCGTATCGCACTTATACGTATACCTTAACATGGATAGTATTGTATCGTAAATGTAGTCAAATGCGAATTCTATGAAAACATAAAAGGTGGCGAAGGGATGATAAGGGGGTGAAATTAGGGATGCAAGGTTGCATAAAAATTTGTTAAAATCTGTTCTAGGAGTATGATTGTTTTTATTCGCCCTCTAACAATTTTGCACAGAGGTCCCTTATGTGGCGTAATTGAACGGGTCGAAGTTATTTTTGGAAATTTATCTGCTGAGAGGATGAAAATGGGAGTAAAATTTTGTATAACTTTCTTTAAAATTAGTCTGAGGAGTTTGTAATTTTGTACAGAGGTTCCTTAAGAAACGAAAGTGAGTACTTAAAAGCGACTTTTTGAGAATCCATCTTCTAAGGGGATGACCCCTCACTTCATCAATTTTTTTTCATCATTTAGTTTGAATACTGTATAAAGAAAAAATTAAAATTTTCCCTAGCAGTATGTAATTTTGCACAGAAGCCTAATTGAACGAAGCGATTTTCGGTTATTAAATTTATCTTTTAAGGGAGTGAAACTGGTGGTGAAATTTTGTATATATTTTTTTAAATTTGTCCTAGGGGTATGTTCTTTTGTATAGAGGAAGTGGCGAAAGTGAGTACTTAGAAGCGATTTTTTTGGAAATTTACGTCTTAAGAGGGGCGAAATAAGGGGTGAAAGTTTTCTCAAAAAAATTGTTAAAATCGGTTTGAAATTTTGCGTATAATACCCAATATTTTCCGTATAACAATCCAGTGGCGTGGTGAGTTTTTTTCTATGTTTGCTTTTTTTCTCAGAAATAATAAAAAATAAAATTTTTTAAATGAAAATCATAGTTGGCTATGAACTGACTATGAAAAAATGCTGGCGTTTAACCATTTCGAACGATATAAAGTTATGGGTACCTTTTCTAAGAATGAGAGCAATATTAGGTTTTTTCTCTTTGTATCGAAGTGTACCTTGATAGTTGTCTAATTATTTGTTATCGCGCAATTTAATATTCTATATTATTATTTATCTGCATAATTAAAGACTTTTGAAAAAATAAATTAACATTCTATATTAGTTTTAGTAATTACAATTGAAATCGATACCATAAACAAAGAACAAAGCTAAAAACGTACTTTTTGAGCGACGATTATAGTTTTCTAAAAAAACTCATCTAAGATGTTCAAACTGAGCACTTCCTCGTTAAATGCATAATAAACATCTTTTGCGCACAGAGTTACAGCGATTTATTAGGCGAACTGGTGTAATAAGTCCAAACGCTTGCCTCTCAAGTAGCCTTCTGCAATTCTTCTCTCGTCCAATGGTTCTTCCTTAATGGTGCGTTTAGACTTGAGCACGCACGCACTGATCCTCCGCGAATGCTTAATTGTAAACGGCTGTGCGCGCACGCTCACTCTGAATCTGTCTGTGCGCGAGCAGCGGCGAACGTGAGCCGTTTGGTATCGGTCTTTGTTCCGTGCTCAAAGGGATTTTATGGGTGCGCGAACGCTCAGTTTGCACCGGCAATTTGTTTTATCCGTGTTCGTACGTGCGTGTGTGATTTTTTTTTCTTTTTCTTTATTAAAATTATGGAGTGGATCAATGAATCTTCGTTATTATTAATTGAAGAATATGAAAAGTTGCCTATATGATGAAATGTTAAACATTCTTTGTATTATTAAAAAATAAAAAAAATCGCATGGCAAGATCTTGTAAATAAAATTAATATTGAATATGTCGATATTAATGAAATTGCTATTCTAAAATTTGTATCCTTTGTTCGTAATTTTTGGTGTTATTAAATTTTGTAAATATTCAAAGTCGGGTCTGGTCATTCTTGTAAAGTTCTTGAACTGATCATACATCCTCAGACACTAAGTTGTTGCAGTGAATTATATCGATTTCTAAAAATTTGGGTTTGTCACCAGCGACGATGTTTTCGATTTTTCTCCTTTTTAATAATTAAGCTGTGCATAACAATGACTGCAGCCTCGACTATTTCTTGGTCGTCCATTATTTTCGCCAACACAACTCTGCTGTGCGCACACAAATGGATCACTTCATTCGTCGAAAAATAAGTTTTTAATTTGAACGGAGCCGAGAGCGCGAACGAATGCCGTGCGCGCACGCTCAGCTCGTACGTACTCAAGTCTAAACGCACCCATTATATATAAGGTCTTTTAATTCCCCCATAAAAAAGTCGAAAAAAAAATCACAGGACCTAGCAGGTCAAGATATGGGGTTGTTCCCCTTGTTCCAATCTGATTCTCTCTAAATTCTCCATTTAATGGCGTTTTAATGGTAATTGGCAAAACTAATATAGAATGTTGATTTATCTTTTCAAAAGTCTTTAATTTTGCAGATCAATAATAATATAGAATATTAAATTGCGATAAAAATAATTAGACAACTAGGGCTACACGAAATCAAGGCCCGCTTCGATACAAAGATAAAAAACTCTAATTTTTCTCTCATTCTTAGAAATATATACCCATAATTGTACTGTATATCGTTAGAAAGGGTTAAACATCAGAATTTTTTTAAATTCATAGCCAACTATGATATCCATTTAAATAATTATGTTTTTTATTATTTCTAACAAAAAGAGCAAGTAAAGAAAAAAAGTGACTACGCCACTGGATTGTGCTTAAAAAAGTGCCTTAACAACGTCTTTACAGAATTTTATTATCCCGTGAAATAAAAAAGTTATGGGCAATTTTCAAGTTCTTTAAAAAAATCAAGAAGACCCCGTATCTCAGTTGGCAGTGAAAATATCAATAGGCTGTTTGTGCCATTAAATGTGTCTCAGAAATCGAGCCCATGACATCCACGTCGTTTTGCTCTGTCTAGTCAGGAAATAGGTTTTCTCTGTTAAAACAGACCAATTTCGACCACCCTGTACAAAAAATTGTAACGGTTCTAGAAGTATTAAATTTACACAAAGAGTATTTTTGAGAATATGTACTTTAAGTAGGTGAAATTAGACACAAAGGTGGACAGCAGTTGACAAAATTAACAACAATCAGTACAAAGTAATCATAGTAATCAAAGTAACAAATATTTGAAATTATTACCTAGTAGTTGAGTAACGATTAGTAACGAGTAATCAAAAGTAACGAAAATCAACATCACTCTGTACTAAACTTTATATTTTTTAGCCATATAACAACGTATTTTCCGAATCAGTAATGTCCGATGAAGAAGAAGAATCAAGTCCTTTAGAAGACATAATTTTTATTCTCGTAGCTATATTAGATCAGGCCAGAGATCAGTACTTAATCAATCAAGCCAATCCGGATATATCTAAAAATCAATTGAAAATTAAAAGTTCATACAACACTTACGTGACCAAACTAATTGAAATAATTAGAAACGATAAAGAACTTACCACGATTAATCATTCTGAGTTAGAAGATGACCTCAATTTAGTGAAAATTATATTGAAATGGTTATACAGGGGTATGGATCATAACAAGAAATATTTGGCTCCTATTTTAAGACCCTATTTGAGAACAGTATTTCTAACCAGCCACCACATATCTTACCATTTAGAGCTCATAAAAGAGAGAGTCAAGAACGATGAAATTGAGTCGTTAGGATTGTTTTCAAAACTTGTAAATTCAGGGTCTATCAGTCCTGCCCAAGGTTTGGTGGATTCAGTGAATAAAAATTGGTCGTGGGCGAAGGAAATGCTCGATATGGTGGAAAAGAATACACTTAGATTAATTTTTATTGAAGATAAAGGAAAAATTTGCAGACATGTTCTATCATTGCCCTCCGATAGTAGAGAGAAATTCAAGGAACTTAGTGGAAGCAGAACATGGAGTGACAAAGAGAAGAAAAATAGAAGTATTAAAAGAAGAACTACCTTGCCTTCTAGGAATTACTTCAGTTCACTTGTCAGTGAAAGTAAATTATTATTAAAGCAAATAAAATGAAAGGTAATTTAATAATTTAAATATTCTAGAATTTAAAGAAGGATCTTCAGATGTTCCTCAGCATGATATTTTGAAAACAAGCAGTCCTTTAACTGTCATTCTAGGAAAGCATCATCGCAAAGGACAACATAGAGGTCAAGGAGATATTTTTAAGAGCATGGAATCAATGCAAAAATTAAACGTTTGTATCATATTTTTAGTTATAAAATTATGAAATATGTATAAATGAAATACAGCTGAAATGTTTAGCTATAATCATGGTAGCAAAATCATTTTTTATTGAACAACTGTAATTATTTGCAGGTTTTTAAAGAGGCAACCCTGTCTTTGCCAAAAGAAGACCAAACCGAGATACTAGATATTATTCAGAATGTTCACATGGAGAAAGCGAAGAGATCTTTAAATAAAAAATGGTCGTCTACACTGCCTCATAGCAGCAAAATTTTTCCCCAAAACACACAGCCCGTACAAAGATATACACCAAAGGAAGAAAGTGCAGGTAATATTTAAAGAATATATGTGAATTTATGAATTCCTTCTCCAACACCTAATGTGAATATTTTATTAAACTTTGATTTAGCTGACTATTTATTACTATCTATAGTTGTGAAATATTTGTAGTGCTAATATTAAGACAATATCTAGATATATTTATATGAAACTATGCGATTCATTTCCTTTTAAATTACAATGTTCCAGATATGGTGGTAATAATAAATGTATTGTGCTTTTAAGGTTTACAAATTTCTCCCAAAGAGAGACGCAAGAACAAAAAGCTATTGAGAGGTGAGAGTTTACTAGGCACCAGCAGAGCAGTTCGATTGAGAGAAGATAATGGTATATTCTTGCTGCAGGAGAGCTTCAGAATTAAATGCTTAGTACATAAAGCAGATTCCTTTAGATTATAGTACACGCTTCTAAAATGTTTACTTAAAATCAGTACTATATGATCACTAGATTTGAAACTAATGTTGTTATAGTATGTTAGGTTTTATATTAAGTAGGTAGATGTAAAAATAAATTAGTTTTATAAATTATTTCGTTTTGTTTCTGATGTTTGAAAATATCATTACCTACCCGTCGTCAATAATGTTTAATCTTTAGTGGCTGTGAACGAATATAAACATAAAAAATTAAGATGAAGATGAATATTTTTTCTCGATATGGAAAACATTTCCACATGTATAAACATCACCTTATTTCTAAAAAGCCAGCTAAATAATTTATTTTGTTATTTTCAAGGATGTTGCCTGAATAGTACCTGTATTGATCGTACCGGTTGATCAGTTTGTACCAGTAAGATTTTGGAAAGTAGCAGGTTTAATAGAGGAATCTTACGGTAGAGATGAAAGTATAGTTTTTAATTTTGAAGATACAAAAATAAAATACAGGGTATCATTAAAATGGTGTAAAAAAATCGGGAGTGATAGTACTCCTAAAAATAGTAAAAAAAGTTCCTATAAGTATAGGACGGAAAATGCATATTAGGGGAGTTAGGGGCACTGAAAGGGTGAATTTAAAAAACGGTTATTTTGAAATTGTAGGCTTAAAAAACGAGATAAAATTTCGAAAAAAAAATGTTGTGCAATAAATTTTGACCCTAAATCAAATGGTGATACTGAAAAATTATTTGGAAAAGCGGAAAGGGTAGTTTTTGCAAGGGTAAGGGGTTGTTTTGTGAATAACTTTTTTAAGGTTATTTTTTTTGCAACGTGGATTCATTTTTTGAAAACTACATACTTTTTTCTACAAAAAAGGTACTCTTGTTGCACATCGCCCAGAGTGATGGTTTTCGAGAAAATTGAAGGCAAAGAGTTTGCTCTGATGGGCTGCTAACTCAACATAAACTAAAGAAAGTTATGGCGGTTCAAAAGTAACCAAGTAGTTATTAAATAATTAATTGGAAAATCAAAATTTCATGATTTTTAAAACATCTTATTGCTTTAAAAACGAAATAAACCAATTACCAAAATTCCTTATTAAAATAATGCAGTCTTTAATTCATTCATAGTAAATGTTTAAAGTGACCACCATTCATTTCAATGCAGACATCTGCTCTTCTTCTCCAAGATCTGCGTACCCTGTGGAATATCCTTGGTGTTTGTCCGAATTTGATTGGAACAGTCAATAAGGCGTTGCCGTAGTTGCTCTTCAGTATTAATCGGCACTGAGTAAACCAAAGCTTTCAAAGTGGCCACAGAAGTAGAAATCTAGTGGATTATTTCGTTTTTTAAAGCAATAAGATATTTTAAAAATCATAAAATTTTGAATGTTCAATTAATTATTTGATAACTACTTGGTTACTTTTAAACCGCCATAACTTTCATAAGTTTATGTTGATACCAACCCATCAGAGCAAACTCTTTGCCTTCAATTTTCTCGAAAACCATTGCTCTGGGCGATGTGCAACAAGAGTACCGTTTTTGTAGGAAAAAGTATGTAGTTTTCAAAAAGTGAACCCACGTTGCAAAAAAAATAAACTCTAAGAAGTTATTCACGAAACGCCCTACCCTTGCAAAAACTACCCTTTCCGCTTTTCCAAATAATTTTTCAGTATCACCATTTGATTTAGGGTCAAAATTTATGGCAAAGCATTTTTTTCCAAATTTTATCTCGTTTTTTAAGCCAATCATTTCAAAACAACCGTTTTTTATATTCACCCTTTCAGTGCCCCTAACTCCCTTAATATGAAGCCTTCAGTGCAAAAACCAGGTAAGACCATTTTTTACCAAAATATATGTTTAGGCATATTCTGGGACTTCAGATCATTGCGGATCGTTGGGTGTTAAAATCAGGTATGTCCAACGCTTATAATGTACAAATATATTTATTTTCACATACCTGATCAAGTATTGGTAGCAAAATTCAGGTAAGTCCAGGAGATACCTGGTTTTTGCACCGTACTCGCTATACGGTGGTGGGGGACTTGCCTGGTCGAACGTCGCGTCGCGCTGAACGTGAAAAGTTTAGTTAAACTGGACAGTCGTTTGAGTTGGTGGGTTGTCGGTGCGACGTAACACGTGATTTTAGGCGCGAAGATGTCGTCCGAAGATGAACCTTTTCGGTCGTCAGGAAGCGAATAACTACCGAGCGATGAGGACCATCCTGGGCCCAGTCGAATTAATAAGGGTGTTTTATTGAACTCCAAATCAAAGAGCAAAACGCTAGTAAAGAAGAAAAGTGAAGATATTCCTGCTAAAAAAGGAAAAAAAAACGCACTCGTTGTCCAGAGAAATGGCAAAGAAATATAAGAAAAAGTAAAAAAGCAAAAGGAGAAATGCACATGTAAGTTTGAAGTTTCATTTTTATTTGTGTGCACATAATGGTATGCTATATAATATGTGTTGCGTCCAAGAAAGACAGAACGTGTAAAACCACGTGTGATCCAACAAAGTGACTGGCCGATCACATCTTTATGGAAGCATAATATATAACGTATTGAAGTATTTTATCTTTTATCATTAAAGGTCTGCCAAAGGAACCGTTGTACCAGCGAGAACTATTGGAGCAAAATGTAAATGTCAATTAAAATGTTTTGAGCTGATTGGTGACGATAAGATTCGAAAGATTTTCGAAGAATTTAATAGAATTGGCGATAAGCAGAAGCAAGATATTTACTTGGCTGGATTGATTATTCCTCGAACAGTTGCCAGAAGACGGAGCAGGGCTGAAACGGGAAAAGAAAAAGAAACTTCTTTCAAATATAAGGTAAGTCATATATACATACACCTTAAGCCTCTGTTATGTTTCTATATTATCTTATCAGGTTCGGGTTAATGGACAAGAATATCCAGTTTGCAAGAATGCAATGTGGGCTATCCACGGCATAACAAAATTTAGAGTAGAAAACATTGCCAAATCTCTTATTTTTTATCCAAATCCAATATTGTGTCCCAACCGGACATGCGAGGTAGACACCTAAACGGGCCGAATAAGATCCTCGAAAATATTGTTAAAACTATAGATGATCATATAAGAAGTTTCCCCCGACGATCTTCCCATTATAGTAGGGAGAAAAACGATGGACGATACTATTTGCCGGCAGAGTTAAATGTTACTAAAATGCACAAATTATTTTTAGAAAAATATGAGCCCACAGTTTTTGCAGAAATGCAAGACAGCAAAGAAAGCAAACCACAAGTAACTTATGATTATTATCATCGTTATTTTTTGCACAACTTTAATATAAGTTTTGGCTCACCAAGATCTGATACATGTCAGAAATGTGATCGTCTACAAAACATGATTAATGCGGAGCAGATCGTCGAAAATAAAGCATCCTTGCAAGCTGAGAAAGAGCTACACATACGTAAATCTGAAGTGTTTTATACTTCATTAAAAGAAAAAGTCGGGAATAGCTTTGAATGATCCCTCTGTCGAAGTGCTATGTTTTGACTATGAGCAAAATTTACCATTACCCCATGTCCCCGCTGGCGACGTCTTTTATAAGCGACAACTCTGGGTGTATAACTTTTGCGTACACTCTGCAAAAAGTGGAACTTCTGTTTTTTATATGTATGACGAAGTTACGTCGAAAAAGGGGAGTAATGAAGTAATTAGCTTTTTGAATCATTATATAAATACTTACCTGCCTGATACTGTTCGAACATTGTATCTATTTTCCGACAATGCCTTCGCCCAAAATAAAAATCAAACATTAGTAAAATACTTGTATACTCTTACGAACATCAACCAGAAGGGTATTTTGAATATCGTCCATCAGTATCCAGAGCCAGGGCATAGCTTCCTGCCATGCGACCGATCATTTGCTTTAAACGAAAAGACTAAAAGACGCAAAAAAGGGTACATACTCCTGATGAGTGGAAAGATCTGGTACGTTCAACGTCAAGAAAGTTTAAAGTAATAAACGTCAATCAGGATATGATAATGGATTTTGCAACATATTTTAAACCTTTTTTTAAAACTACTTTTACCAGCAAAGAAAAAAAATAAGTTTAGTATTTCGACGTACCGAATGTTTCAGTATCAAAGAAAAAATAATTATGTAGAATGCAGCAGTTCCACTTTTCACCAGGTTTTACATTCAAAAAGAAAATGGGCGCGTTCAGGGACGGTCAGCGGCTTAGTGGCTGAGTAAGCGGTTTCCCTAAACGGTCTCTTTTTACACGCAAAAACAGTCAGCCGCTGAGCAAAATACTCAGCGGTCGGTCAGCCGCTGTGTTCCCTGAACGCGCACAATGTGGCATTGTCCCTCCCAAGTGCACCGATGATACAATCCTATCCTATACCTCTTAAAGACAAAAAAGCTACTGATGTTAAACTTCTATCATCCAAATACGTACCAGCTGCCGATCTATGGTATTATCGAATGATCTTTAGAGAACCCGAAAATGAAGGTTTGCAAGAAGTTAACAATACAGTGGAAGATGTTTATGACTCGGATTCTTCATTTATGTAATATCACCTGTTAATTTCTGATTTAGTTTATATTTAACTTCTATAACTTTTTGCATAATAAAACTGTTTAAACATTTTTTTGTTTTTTTTTTTATATATTTTCGGAGCAACAACCAGGTAAGTCCAAATTTTCTAATTTTTTTTTGAAGTTGTTGTGCATTTATTTTCCAGGCAAAAACTTTGTTATGTTACTTTTCTTTATTTTTATTAAACCCCCCAAATTTTTTTTCCTTTTTATTTCCAAATTAACCAATGGGTTTTGTTTAATTTCCCAACATTTTAGAAAACAGGACTTACCTTGTTATTGCACCGATGTCTTCATATGCATTTCCCGCCCTATTCTTATAGGAACTTTTTTACTATTTTTAGGAGTACTATCACCCCCTGATATTTTTTACACCATTTCAATGACATACAAAAAATGTAACAGGTTAAAAAATAATCAAACCAATTTAAAAAAAACTAAATTTAGAAAAAAAACTGTGTACATATCTGTTAAATAAAATTGTAGACAAATAATTGTGACAAACAAAAAAATTCATAAACATTTTCACTAAAATGACGAATACACGATTTTAATTTAATATTAATATTCAAAATATATGCTTTGGAGGTCCTT